ATTCTTTATTTCATTGTAAAATACCCAACATGTTCCGGCCTCTCAGCCTTCTTCAAGGGCAATACTGTAGTTTCTATGGACGGAAAAGAGCAGATACGGATTAAATGGTTTTCAATGCATTCCTATGGGAAATGCAGATTCAACATAAGAACTTTTCAACTTGAGAACCACCTTCCAATACGGATTAAGTTCTTAAGTAGAGACCCCACTGTATATAAAAAGAATTAGAAGGTATCAGCAGCTGTTCCAGTTATTTTCATTATTCAAAGGTCCGGAGAGCAAATGAAGAATGGACGCAGGAGCCTGGAAATGAAAATGCCGAAGGGCATGTGAGAGCCCTCTCTACAGATCTGAAGGGAACCAAGCGTCTTTTCTGTGGCTTCAGAAAGTCGGACCTGAAAGCCATGGATTCGAATGACGAGAGATTGCCACTAAACCTTAGGAAGATCCTCTTGAGTGTAAGAGCTGTTCAAGGTGGAATGGACTATGCCAAAGGGTGGTGGGTTCTCCATTATTGGAGGTTTTTACGTGGACATTGGATGTCCACCTGTTGGGGATGCTTTACTTCTGCATTTCCTCCTTTGGCAGGAGCTTGAAGGCTCTTGCATCCTCCCTGGTCTACCACTTTTATCTTCTACAAGCTTTGTTTCATGCAGAGCTCCCAAGAATGCTAGAGGATTGCACAAAACCATCCCAGTTGAGTAACTTTTTAAACCATTCAATGGTTGCCTCTGTTATCTTCCTCCAAGGCATTATGGAGCAAAGCACAACCTTCCCAGTCCTTGAGCACAACTATCCTATTTTTTATTTTAGAACACAGGCAAGGAAAGAAGGAAGGAGGGAAGGAAGCAAGGAAGAATGAACGGATAAAGCTGATGATGGCTAGAAGGACGGGAGAAATGTATGTCACTGATTATGGGAAGCAGGTTTGAAAACGGTAAAATATGCCCCTAAGAGAGTTTTTGTACTGTAATCTTTCTCCTAAGCCCGGGGAGAAAAGAAATCTAAAATAAAATGGAATAATGTGAACCAAACACCTCACCCGTTGAAAGAAATTTACATCAATATCCATTTCTCAATAACAAAGCAGAACGGCGCATTACAACCAAGGCTTCGCCACTCTTGATATAAAGCTATTAAAGGAAAGTGAACAGAGAGACTGAACTTGGCAGCTGGAAAAGAAAAATCAAAGATGGAAGTCAAAACAAACATAGTTTCTAAAAGGGCTTTTCAAAAATTGCCTGTTGCAGAAATTACCAAAGATAGCAAAATTGCCAACAGGCATGGAGAAAGCCGCGAAAAGGGTGGAGGAGACCAACAATGTACCTCGATGTAATGCCAAGGAAATTAAAATAAAATAATATACCGGTATTTTTCAGTGTATAAGACGCCCCCATGTATAAGAGCCCCCCCCCCACTTTTCTAACCCAAAATTAAGAAATCTTAAGTGGGGCTTAGCAAGTGTAGAGGGAAAGGGATCAAAGCGCTGCAGGATTGCTTTGATCCCTGATTTCTCCTCCACTTGTTTTTGTTCTCTCCTCAGCTTACTTCTGTATATAAGACGACCCTCAATTTATAGTCTAAAGATTTTAGACAAAAGTATAGTCTTATACATGGAAAAATACGGTATATATTTTTTAAAAAATTTAAGGCTGGTGGTGGGAGAAAACCAACCCACTCCAAACCTACTGTCTTTCCAGGATGCTTTGCTTGACAATTAATGTCATCCTGAGATATTGGAAAGGAACATTTCCTCTCTTTTCCCCAGGGCAAGCCCTACTCTTGGGCAGAGTTTGGGAACAGTCCGCTTGGCTACCACCTCTTGGCCCATGAATGTTGGGCACACAAGAACGGTCAACCCTAAGCTCCATAACCCAGCCTGCTGCCGAAAGTGTGGCAGACGGCCCCCTGGACGTTCAGGGTCCAGTTGGCTACTGCCTACGAAAAGATAAAAGGACACCCCCAGAGTCTTCATCTCCAAGGAGTTGGGAATTTTAAAAAGCTGGCCAAGCATTTTAACTGTAGAACAACGCCAAGGACGGACCCTGCATTGTGTTTGCTTTCTTCTCTTTTTAAAATTCCTTTTAATGTTTGTTGGCGAAAGTTGGACCTGATCCATCAATGTCTTGGTAATCGTTTCCTACCTTCATTAGGCATTATTAACGCAATGTTATTCCACACCCTTGTAATTCAAAAGCTCCCAGACTTGGTCCTTCAGAGGTTGTTGGAACTGCTGAAAAAATCTTCAGGGTGGGAAAGAGGAAGAGTGTCGAAGCTGTGTCACAGGACATCCTTTCCCAAGTGTGTAAGAGGTTATATACAAGAAGTTGCTTGGAATATATAAATGATGGCCAAGATAGATGAATTTTAGAAGACGACCTTGCATTTACTATCTCATAGAGCTCGCTAATGAGCTATTGTATATCCTTGGCCCGTTTCAAGAATGCCACCTTTCAGGGTACCAATTAGGGGGTCACAAGAACGACGAAATGAGGAATTGGGTAAGAGATCCGATCCATGCCCCCCCCCCCAGGGCTCTTGCGTTAAAAGTCTTCAAGATGATACACTTCAGCCTTCACCCCCCAACTAATTTCAGAGTGAAAAGATGGCTAGAGGAGTTCGGATGGTAGGGCTAAATATAGTCTTGTTTCCCAGCAAACGGGCAAAAGCGCGCAGCCGATCATAAGAGGTGGGCGGTGGGAGTTCAGAACGATTCTGGTAAAAGACGGGGCGTCAACCGGCTGTTATTCATCGCGCCTGCGTTAATGGAAAGATAACTGTTCTACAAAAATAAACCATCGGGTTGCTGACGGACGCCATGTTCCTTCTAACAATCATCCTCTCGCTCTTAATGCGGGGCTGGTAGGTTGCCGCCGGCGGGGAGGAGAACGCCGGGGTAGAAAAAGAGATGGGGAGGGAAATCGATTGCTCGATTTGGTATCATTTCAAGCACTCAAGACTTTCTTCCTCAACACCAGACTGCTGATGGCAAACCCGGCTTGGCCGAGGCGCCACGCTTAATGGCCGGCCCCGTTCCGAGGGCCTTCCGAAGCCGGCCGCCCCACCCGGCCTGGCTGGTATTAAAAGGAAGAGCACCAGAGATGGAAGAGTTGCCTGAGAGTTGACTTCCATAATTCATATGAAGGTTATTTCACCAGGGAGCCCGTTCTCATCTGTACTTAAAGATACATTTAAGAAAATGCATCCTCTCTCTGCTGCTCCCTTGGACCACTTGCGGTTTTCCGTCGGAGGGGGCCGGGAGGCTGCGTCTTCAATTAAGGGACACCTTGGGGTTCATTATCACACAGACGCTCCCAGAGAAACATGCCAAATGCTGTTCTGGCACAGAGCTCCGAAGATGAATTAGAAGGATGTCTTCTCCATAAGGCATCCCCCCCCTCCTTAATTGCCCTTCCTATCATCAGCATGTAGAGTCCCTTCTCCCTCTCCCCTCTTCCCTCCCCTCCCTGCACCCAAGTGGCTTTCAACATCCCCATCTTTCCTGAGCCCATCTCGATTCTCTGGAGGTGTATTTAAGAGATGCCATATCTCAACCCCACCAACACCCCTTTCTTTTGCTTCCGGCTTTCAGGGGGGGCGGGCGTGGCCCGGGTTGGCACTTTTGCAGATGGGACCATCTCGTGTTGTTTTTTTAATAATAATAAAAATAAAAATAAATTAAGACCAGATGCCGGAAGGGGTGCGGAAGGCAAATGGGGAGAAAGAGAGAGTGGGAGAGGAAGAAAGGTTGCATATCTCACCATTAAAAAAAAAATCAGACAAATCGCAAGTGGTGTCCCCAGTACTGGGTGGGAAAATAGACACCAACGCTTGCCACCCTGGGGCGAAGGAGGGAGACGCACCATTTGTCCCATTTTCATGGGAGTGGAAAAAAATACAAAGGGGATAATATGAAAGGGTCATCACAGCGGTAGCAAAGGCAGCTACTTCTGAAGGAGTTGAGAAAGACAATAGAGTCTTTCTCCTGGGCTCAGAGGTTGGCAGAGGATGGAATTGGTCACGAAAAGGTAAGACCGTCTACGGCCTACCGGTCACGAGGTCAACCTGCTGTCCTCGGAAACGGGCACATCTCCGAATGCTGGGCGCCAAGGAACATGGATGGGCATGAGACCCACTGTATGGTGGGCGTCCGACCCCGGGGCTGGTCACGGTGGGAACAAGGATGACACGTTCGATGGGACTTCTGCTCTACCCCACCAGCGCTCCTCTTAGGATCTTGTAACTGAGTCTTCCCTAGTCAATGGTTCACGATCTAAGATGCCATCGACTATATTCTGCCCTACGGGGGAAAGACTTAGAAACCTCCGGGCTTATAGAACAGTTTCTTGCCAGGAAGCTCCGGAGACTTCTTGGTGAACTCTTGACCAACCTCGCGTACTTGGGGAGGAGAAGCTTTTGCAGGTCAAAAGGGACCCCGTCCGCACAACGTTTACGGGGAGCCCCATCGTCAAAGAGAAAAGACTGGGCCACCCTGCAGCTAACCAACTATTGCCGTAAGTTAAAAATAAAGAAATAAAGACGCCCATAACAATCGCTCCTGCAGAAGCTATTGAAGAGGAATGGAGATCAGGGTTCAAGGTGCCGGTATTAATTTTTCAATGCTTCTTTTATAGAGATCCAGAGAGACTTTAATACGTAACCCACAAGATGGCTTGTGGAATTTTCTTTTTATTATAGAGAGAGTGTAAAATGCAACTGTCAGTCAAATAAAAAGAACATTTTTTTTTTGTTTAAAACACATCATGCTTAACAGTATTCCAATTGTGTTTCTGTATAGTTAGACATTTCAAGCATTATAAAGAAATAAAGGTGAGGGTGGAGGAAAAGGACCCTAAGAACATTAACTTCAGTACAATTCAAAACGGAATGTCCCGCAGGTCAATTAAAAATGTCAAGAAAAAATAGCTTTACTTCCGTTTTTTTTTCTCCTTTAAAAATACACTGTTATCTGTACAAGAAAACACTACAGTAAACACTGGAAACCATATTATCCCTTTTATTAAATCAAAAAATTATTTAGCGCATACCTGTGGTTAATACTAGATTTCATTTTTATTTCTCTAGGTAAATTTTGACAAATATTAAGATAAGAAAATACTTAAAAACAAAACAACCAAAAAAATGGGGGAGGGGAAAAAAAAAGCAAACACACACCCTGGAATTAAAAAATAGTTACTACTATTTTATATGATTTAATGTTCCACAGTGTTTGTTAAAGTTACTAATAGCAGTTCCATCTTAATATTAAAAATAACAGTATTTATTTCTGAAATAGACAAAAGGTATCGTTTCATTTTTTTTTTTAAGATCAGCTTGGAGGTCTTAGATACACAAATGCAACGGGCAATTACAGACGTGGAAAGAAAAAAATAGTATCGCTAAAAAATTAACACATTGTTTTTATATTACCCTTTAGATCTCTAGAAATTATACAACCCCTACAAAATTCTCCCCACAATAACCAGCGTTGACAGCAAACAGTAACTGTCTTGCTAAAGAATTCACATAATTAATTACAATACATACCATAGTTCAGTTTCTTCTTTTTTTAAAAAAATGCAATAAAATCAAAAAAAAGACAGCCAAGGTACAAGAAATTAGAAGTAAAATATTTAATGAATTTACATATTTAAGAATATTTAAATACTGCTTTTTCAAAAATTTCATTTTTTTATTTTTTATTTTTTTTTAGAATTTGTTACATACCACCTAAGACTTCCAAGCCTTTTTTTTTCTGTTCCAACAGAAAAAAAAAGTTTTTTTTAAAAATTAAAACACAAAGAAGGGGGGGAAAATGGAGGGGGAAAAAAAATTCCACTGGTTGAAATGTCACAGTTCGGGAGTTACGTTTTCATGCCAGCCTGGTCTCTGGCTTTTCTCCAAAAAAAGAAAAAGGGAAAAAAAATGATCACTGAGTTTTACTTATTTTTTTCCTCTTTTTTTCTCACAAATTTGGAAAAGGAAAAAAAAATTTAAAATGAAAAACAAACAAAAAAAATTACCCACCATGTCCATAAAGTTTAGTATGCATTAATTGTTCCTGATTCTTAGAAAAAAGTTCAGTATAGATTATCCTAACAACTAGTGTTTCACGAAAAAAAAAAAACCAAGAGTCTTCATCAAAATGTTGCAAATCTAGAAACCTCTGTTACAAAAAAGGTTTGCTTCCACAATGATTCCAAGAGAAAAGAGAGAAAGAGAGAAGAGCGCGCAGGGAGGAAAAGGGCGGGGAAAATATATATTCAAGGTTCTTGTTCTACTGCTCCTGAAAAGAAAAAAGAGAGAAAAGATTTTTTTTAAAAAGACCGAATTTTGGCGAACACAAAATTTGGCGAACTGGGACAAGCACACGGAAAGAACGAACGCAGTGGCGGCTGATAAATTTTGATGAAAACCAACCAAATTGCTTCTTTTACCCTTTAAAAAAAGGGAGCCGGGGTGGGAAAGTTGTGTGTTGTTTACAAAAAAAATAAAATAAGATTCACCGTCCCTAAAAATACAACTGTGTCTGTTCACAAGAGGGAGAGACCTGTCAAAAATCACAGTGAGGGACCTCATCTCCTGCATGAGACTGAGACGCCGAGAACTTGCTTAGGGTTTTTGGGGGGTCAGTTTTTAAGCCATGTTTGGACACCACTTGTGCAAAATGTTTCTACCCCTCCTTGTGAAGCCAAGGACACGCCCATTCCAGGCACAAGACAGCAGGCAGACAGTTCACAAAGATACAACCAACCCATTCGGGGCTTGTATTTTTTTAACCGTCCAATCCAAGAAAGCCAAGAGTGCAAAATTATATACGTTCGCAGGCACTTGGGGAATTCAATCTGCAAACGTGCAAATTCACCCCGGGGCAGGCAATACACATACAACTCTCCCCCCACCACCACCTTTTTGGGGCAATTTCTTATTTAGTGCAAGGAACAACCTATTGCATTTTACCCTCCTAGCTAGAGATGTCCTGCCGGTTTGGTTTTTCGGATGGACAGGTATTGGGTGTTTTCCCATTGCCGTCTCCTCCAGTGGGTGCCTATGAAGAGGCAGTGTCTGGAGGAGGTGGGGAGGAGGAGGAGGAAGGGCCGGAAAGCTGGGGAAATTCACTCAGCAAATTAAGAACCCTTTCCAGGGTTCCAGGGAAGAAATCTCTCCTTCAATCAGAAGGAAGAGACGGATGAGTCTCAAACAAGCATAGGGAGAAAGGGAGGGCTGGGGACTTTTGGTCATGATCCTGTTAAGCAAGGGAGAGCGATTCAGGAAGAAGACTTGAAAAGGTACCTAATGAGGGAGAAAAGGAATACTCACCTGGCTGTGGGCCTGAGCTTGTCCTAATGTCTGCCCGTAATAAGCCGCCTGCTGTCTATAGTATTCTGCCCAGGCCATTGTGTAGTCCGGCTGGGAGCTGGCTTGGGACGCCGCGGTGGCAGCGTGGCCTGCAGGAAAGGAAGACACACCGAGCTTGAGGTTAGGGGAGAGGGAAGGAGAACGGGGCCCCCCATGGCCAAACTGAAACCTCCCGTCTCGCTAGCCAAACCGGGTTCCGTCCGGGGTGGCCAAAGGCTGGCTGCTTTGGCAAGCTGGGAGGTTGTAGGTGTCAGCCTCCACCCTCTGAGCGTGGGTCTGCAGCGGGGGTGATTCCCACCCCACCCCAAAAAGGGGGACATTTCCACTGACTTGGAAGAGATCCACAAGGAAAGGATGACGGAAAGGTGCTCTTGTATTTAAAAATGAAACAGAGAAACTAAAAATAAAGTTGACCGCTGAGTAACTCTTGAGCTGGCTGGACTGGACAGCTCATGTGGGTTGGGGTCTCTGGCTGTGGAGCCAAAGGCTGGGAGTTCGATTCCCCCCACTGGGCCTTCCTGGGAGGAGAACAGCCCGCCTGGGTGGCCTTGGGCAAAGTCTGCACAGTGATCCCGGGGCAACCTTTGAAGAAAGGAAAGGGGGAAGCCTTACTCCGCCTAATATTCTAGGTAGAGAAATCCCTGAGTATTCTCTACCTAGAAAACCTTGGAAATGGGGCTGTCGTAAGTCAGAATTGACCTGACAGCACAGGATGCTGATGATAAGAAACCCTTGGGCCCTCTCTCTCCAACTCTCCCCTCTGTCACGCTGTGAGCTAAAAGCAGAGGGAGGAGGGGAAAAAATGGTAATCGGAATGGGTCGTTCATTTGGGGTGGGGGTGTGTGTCTCAGCGTGGCCGATCACTTCCAATCCCACGGAAAAAGAGGGGAACCACCGCTTCGACTCACTTTGCTTCTTGTAATAATCTTCCCATGCTTTGCTGTAGTCGGGCTGGCTGGTTTGCTGCTGGTTCTGTTGACCTGCACACAAGGCAACAACAAGGAGGGGGGGGGGAAACAAAGAGGCCGGGTGAGCCACCGGCGGCTGGGCAGAACGGGCCGGCCCTGCTAGGTAGAGGCAAGGCTACAGGTGTCTCCCCCACCCCCGAACAACGCCGGTGGTTTATAAAACGGACAGGGGCAAAGGGGCAGCCCTCTGGGAATTCCCCTTGTACCACGATCCCCAGCATTCCTTTCGAGAGGAAGAGGAGGTTGTGTTTTCTTTCAAAGACCCCCTCAATTTCTGTTATGAGAAAGAGATTTGGGTGCTGTATCTCAAATGAAGCTCCCTGCTTGGGTTCATTCGGACAAGGTCGTAAGAACCCAACCACTCGTCTCAATGAGCGTTGACCCAATTAGTCAATGAGATTTTGACATGTAAGGCTCCTTGATTGACTGGGTCTACTCTAGCTAGGATCAATAATAGTATGATTTCGCTTCTCTCTGTCATTGAGAGTTGTAGCCCTCTGTAAGTAACAAAGAGTTTAATTCTCATTATATCCAATCAACACGTCCAAGAGTCCAGCAACACGGGAAGATATCTCAACATACCTGCGGAGCAACAAGCCGGGAATACTGGGTGGGTCTGGAACCTTGTTCTTTACAGGCCAAGGTCCGATTTCTGATTGTTCATTTGTCACACCCTTTCTGAGACCTCCATAACAAAGGTATCCCCCCCCTCCCCCGGTCTTTTGGAATCTTTCGAAACAGAATGGAAGAAGTCTCTCCCGACGTCCCATCCACAATCAAACTGAAGTGGTTTCTTCTATATTTTTGGATTTTCCAGGCATGTCGTGACCTGGGTTGGCCTTTCGCTGGCGCTGGGGGTGGAAATGTGGCCTCCAAGATCCACCCTAGCTGCCTACCACTGCTTTAAAGTCGTAAAAGCTGGGTTCCCTGACCTGGCAAGCTGGTCTGGATGCAGGCAAAGAACGCCCAAGGCTCTAACTGCATTTGGTCTGCTTCCTGTTCAACATTCAGGAGAGAGAGCTCCGTCTCGTGACTCCAATGGCCTTCCAAACCTCGGGGGTGTGACAGCCAGTGAAAAATCAACTTTTTCTCCTCCTTCAGCCTAGCTAGGAACCACACATCTCGGCAAAATGCATTTTGCCATGAATTTTTAGACTTAGCCTCTAAGAGTAAATTCCCTGGCGTGAAATCCATCTTGCCATAAACTTGGGGACTTTTAAGTTCCTCCCACTGGTACAAGCCTAACAAAGTGGTCATGATCCACCATCCGGATGTCAAGAGTCTGCCCCCGTGGAGGCTGGCAAAAGAGACCTTAAGAATATTCCAGAACAGCCGTAACTAAAGCTGTGCAGATCTACGTTTATGGGGCAGTCCCAGCGTTCCCGAGTTCCTGGCCAACATCTGCAGGACGCCAGCATGATCATCGCAAGCCCCACCAGGGACTCAACGCTTAAGGAGTCACAAGGCAAGGAGGAGGGAGGAAAGGGAGGACAGGGGATTCAAATTTGGAACCCCGTCTTCTCTCCGTGTGACCTTGCGATGGGAACCACAAAATACACGGACAAGCAGGTGGACGGGGTGAAAAGAGAACTGCATTCAGGAGAAAACGCAAGCGTTTGATGGAGGCAAAGAAAAGGGAGCGACATGAAGGAACCACCACCCGGATCTCATCAAGACAGAGGGTGCTTGTGGAGTTGTGTGTGTGTGTTTTTTTTGAAGTTACGGCAACAATACAAGAAGCGTGACTGGAGGGAAGGGAAAGGACCAACTTGGGAACGTTCAGGGGCAGCTAAGAGGGCCTGACCAAAAGGAAAAGTCAGAAGCCCGGCTGCTAAAGGTCAGGGCCGGCTGGACAGCTCCCTCCCTCCCGTCAACAAAGAAATCATTGAATGCCTTTTCTTCTGGGCAGAATTACAGTCCACGGCAGGCTGAAAGGAGGCCGCTGAAAAGCCGTGTCACAAGGCAAAATGTTCTCACCTCCGCCTGCTAATTGTGGGGAAATAATTAAAATCTAACGGACATGCGGCAGGGGGAGGAAAGACGAGAGACTGGTTCTCTTTCAACGGGCAGAAGGGGTGGGGAGAAAGGGGCTGGGATTCGCGCTTCGCTCTCAACGTGGCTCTAAAGCAGGAGATCGGCCCCTTCCCAATCCATTATTATTCTAAGTTCCTTGTCAGCGAAGGGACGTGCAATTCGTGCTGCAAGAAGCGGAGCGACGGTGGCCACCGTGGGCGACGCAATGAGGCTTGCCGTTCTGCACAAAGGCGTAAACCGGAGATTCTCTGGGTATGAGGGTTTGTCAAACCAAGCCGAGGACTGGCCGGTTCCCGTCTCAGCCCTGCACTGGCGTGGATGGACAGAGAGGCAGAAAGACAGACAGACAGACAGACGGACAGGACTTAGTTGGAACCTGTTGCCCAGGTTGTTGCCACGTCTGGTAGGTGCCCCCCCAGCCCTGCGTCATGAACGCCTGAGGACCACTGTGGGCGACAGACAGAAGGGTTTATCTATAAAGCACCCCGAATGATATCACTCCTCCTGCTCCCATGAACGATGCCGAAATTAAAACAAGGCGTCCGACAGCTGTGCGAACGCAAGCGCGAGAACTTACTTTTGATGAGGTGTGGCAGGGGGTTGGCTGAAGGGGCTCTGGCCGAAACCTCCAGGTCCACCCAAGCCGGTACCCTGTGGAAAGGAACAAGATCCATGGATCTCTTTTCATTCCCGTGGATCGAAAAGCGAGGCTAACGAGACAGAAAGCGTGCCACCGTTTCTTTGACGGCATCGGTATAAACGTTGACCAACAAAGGCTAATTCGGGGAAGGGGGAGTTCCCCCTCTATGCTTTACTCAACCCACTACTTCAAAACTGTGATTCACTGGGCAACGATCCAAGACTTTATTTTGTTCTCCAGCGATGCCAGGAATGGAAACCTTCTCTTCTTTCCTCGACGCTCTACAGCACCAACATGGATCTACAGCAGTGGTTCCCAACCTTGAGCCCCCCCAGATGATCTTGGACCGCAACTCCCAGTAGCCTTTGGCGGTGCTGGCTAGGATTTTTGGGAGTTGTAGTAAGTCTTTGGCGGTGCTGGCTAGGATTTCTGGGAGCTGTAGTCCAAGAACATACAGGGACCCCAGGGTTGGGAATCTATGATGTATGGCAGAGATGGGCACGAACTGCTGAACTGCCAGTTCGTGCTGGTTCGTTTTTGGAGCAAATGTGTGTTACAGGGACCCCAGGGTTGGGAATCCATGATGTATAGCAGAGATGGGCACGAACTGCTGAATTGCCAGTTCGCGCTGGTTCGTTTTTGGAGCAAATGTGTGTTCGGTGCTTCCCAACCTTGCCTTCTCCAGTTGGCTCCTACTTAGAGGAAATACCCGGAGGTGGCGGGATGCGGCAGGGAAGCCGGGGTGCCGCCTCTGATTGGGCACCCTCCAGAGGAGGCGGGGCTGTTTGGCCGAAAAACGAACAAGCACGAACCGGCGCTTCGTGCCCATCTCTTAATCTAGGATATTTCTGCGCTTTCCCAATTCGAAGTGTAGGATGCGTGGTGGGGGCTGTTAACGTGATGGAAGAGTGGCCGATTCTGGCAGAATAGGATATTTCTGAGCTTTCCCAATTCGAAGTGTAGGGTGCGTGGTGGGGGCTGTTAATGTGATGGAAGAGTGGCCGATTCTGGCAGAAGCAACAGAATCCAAGAAAACTAAGGCCACTGCATTCCGGCTATCATCCCACAGGGAAGTATCCATTTCAGGAAAGGCGGAAACTTACGCCCACTTTCTCATCTATGAGATGTCTCGCGAGTTCGATCTGTTGAGGGATGCCCCGAATGGTGAATATCCGAACGTTGGGGTCCGTGTTGGGTGGCGGATTTCTCTGAAGCTCCACGTGGGCCCCAGACTGCTGGTTTATGCTCTTGATGTTCTCGCCCCCTGCCGAAAAGCAAGAGAGGAAAGAGTTTTTTTGTGAAATGGACAGGAGACCACTCTCGGGCGGGCACACGTTAACTCCAACCGCAGTGACGGTCCTCCACGTTCCATCGGAGAGAGAAGAACCAACCACACCATCTATAAATAGAGTTATAGATTTGTGATTTTACAATACAACTCTAAAGGGCAGTGTGTGCTATTTTGTTTTATTATTTTTTTGCTTCACTGGGGAAGGAATGGTGTGTTATTGCGACCAATGACAGAATAGGGACCTAATAAATAAATAAATAAATTGTGCTTTGTTAAACAGAGTTGATTTACTGTCCTATATATCATCGGTGTTCCTTTATGACGATCAACAAACAGATCAGCAACAGAACCATCCAACACTGGAAATTATTAAAATACAAATTAAATATATGCTGGATATGATTAACTCTTAAAAACAGAAGTGAAGTAAGACAATCATTATAAAATTTCATAATTTTTTTTCAGCCTTATTGCAATTGGTGACATTTGATCTTGAGTGGCGTTTTTCATGGGATAATTTAACAAAAACATTTTCTGTTTAACCACCTTGAAAGCCTTTAAAAATAAAATAAAATAAACGAGGCCAGAAGAGTAAAACACGCCAAGTTAAAGCATAGCCAGTCGGACACTGGGAACATAGGAAAACTTTGCAATGTTCTTTTTAATTCTCGCAGTGCGTAGCCTCGTCGGGCATGAGAAGGAACAGGTGGGCAGACCTGCTATGAACAAGAAAACCTACGAGGAGGCTAACGACGAGGTTTTTAAAAAAAGAGCAGCTAAACAGGGGAGGCTTGTTCGAGGGTGGAGCACATCTAATGAAAGTTTGGTTTGACTTGGCAATCTCAAGAGAAAGACGCCCACGCACGCCCAGAGGGTCTCTTAATGAAATCTGCTTCACAAAGGCTTCCAGAACTGCGACAATGGCTTGATTCTTCTGCCGTAATTTCACACAAGAGCGGAGGCAAGAGGGAGACGAGTGTGTGTGTGTGTGTGTGTGTGTGTGTTGGCATGATAGGCGTAACCCCCATCCTGGACAGGCTGAAACCGAGAGAAGCGAAGGGGGCCAAGCAAGCTGGACAGAACAAATTAGCAGAGCATCTGGTCAGCTTGGGACGTTCAGCCATGCCTTCAAACGCACCGGTGACTCGCGAGCTAAAGGGAGATGCTTGTTTTCCCCTCTCGGCCTCCAAATGGGGACCTCAGAACGATGAAACTTCCTATCTCCGAACGGGGTGGCTCTTTTTGACTTTACCGGGAAGGGACGTCTCGCTGTCCAGATCCCAGATTCATTTACAAGCAATGCCAAGTGGTCAAAAGTCCAAGACCTTTATGCCATTCTGGAAATTTCCAGAGGGCGGCTAGCAGCCAGTCGGTGGGGAAAACCAACCAAGAATCTTGCAGCACTTTAAGGAACCACCAGTAGGGATGGGCACGAACCACAGGTTCGGTGGGGTTCGTTTCATGGCCGATCCAGGGTTTGGGGCACCGCCTCCCCCAGCAGCCACCCACGTGGGGGCAGTGCCCAGAGGAGGCAGGGCAGGGTGCGGCTGCTGAGCGGGTGCCTGATGGAGAGGGTGGGGCACTAAAGCCATGGATCGGCTGTCTGGCCGGGAAACAAACCCCAACAAACCTGTGGTTCGTGCCCATCTCGAACAACCAGTTTTATCTGGCATGGATTTGAACAACTGGGCTATGGTGCGGAAAAATTTCCTGTTAGAGCAGTAGGACAACGGAATCGACAACCTTAAGGGGAGGTGGTGATGAGTGCTCCAGCACTGGACATCCACCTGGCAGATATCTTTTGACCTGGACTCTTGCCTTGAGCAGGGGGTTGGACTGGATGGCTTTAGAGGCCCCTTCCAACTTGGTGATTCCATAATTCTCTCACTATTGGCATAATTCCGCCCTCAAGTCTGGGAAGGACCAGCATCCTTCACCATTCAAAGCACCCCTTTCCAATCCCATAGAAGGACGTTGGGAGAACCCAGACACAAAGCGCCCAGCAGAACATCGTTCTCCATCACCGCGAGCCTTTCCCCCTTGTTTTCCACGGAGGCAGCCATCCGCTTAGCACATGGCGCCTGTCTAGAGAGTCGTTGGGGGGCAGGGGGGGCTTCCATTCTTCCCTCGTACCCGACGAAGGGGCAGAAGCGTCCGGGGCGGGTGGGGGCGCACAGCTGGGTGGCAGAATTGTAAAGCCATTAATCAAACCGTGCTCTAAAGCCGCCGTGACAAGAGCCCACGTTAGGTGTCAAGATCGCGGCGTTTATCATGGAAATCCAGGCGGGGCCCCCAAAGATCGAGCGAGAAGCTGTGGGGGGGGGGAGTTCTGTCTGCAAGTGTCAGTGCACAGAAAGGGCGCCTGGCTATTGTACAGCTGCCTCCCCACTCTAAAAAACAAATCTCAGATTTTAAACTTTGCCAACCACCACCCCCTTTGAGGCACATCCGTTTTCTGCCACAAGAAGGAATATTCTCAACCAGAGACATTGCGAGCATCCAAGCACAGCATCGCAACGTCTCTTTTTCTCGTGTGTGTGTGTGAGAGAGAGAGAGATAGAGAGAGAGAGAGAAGGCGTCAAGGGATCACACCATCTAAAAAGGAGTGGCGGGCTATTTGTCAGGAAGCAAAAAAGTCTAGGACTGAAGTTCAAGAGCGCGTTTTGTGATCTCCCCCCTCTCTCTCTGACCTTTCTCCTAAACGCCGAAGAGGCTGGAACGTTGTCAGCTGTCAAATCTCCACGTTTTAGCCACTTCCTTAAGAAACGCAGCCACGGCGAGCCAATAGACTCGAGTAAAATGGCACGACATACTTGTGTGCTAAAATTTTAAAAAGCAACCTATCTGGTTCACGCTCTCGAGGTGCTCCACCTTGATCAAGAGATACAACACGCAAGCAAAGGAGGTCTCCGTACAAAACTGGTTCTTTTCCCCTTTTATGAAGCCAAGTGTACACACACAGACACACACACAGAGTCTGTTTTAAAGCAGCTAAAAAGTTGATACATCTCTGCTCTCGAGGAAACAGGGGGAAACGCCCAGGATGCTCACCTTTGCCAATCACTAAGCCACATTTATCAGCCGGCACGGTGTAGGTGATTTCCTGCATGCCCCCAGGAGTGCCCACGCTCCACTCGCCACGGCCACGGCCCCTTCCTCGTGCCACGGCAAGGCTCCCGAAACCATCACGCTCCTTTGAGGGAAGAAGAAAACATGGTTGGCGCTTCCTGGAACTCACCTCCGGGTTGCACGTTTTCACATATGCTGCCAAAACAATTGCTGAAAAGGTGGTACCGTAAACCGATTCCCAACGAAAACACCAGTGTTTCCCAATTTAAAAAGAAGACACTGAGTCTGATAGAGCAGATGACGGAAAAGGGCTAACATTTCTCCCAACAAGGGACCTAAAGCAGCTCACAGCATTAAAATTCATATAATTTAAATACAGAATAAGTTAATTATGAAAAGATGAGTTAAACAATATATGATTTAAAATAACAGTGAAAAGAAATCTCACAGGCTGTGCATTCACTTTAAAGATCCTAGTCCTCATGAGCCACTGATTTGAAAATGCGGAAGGTGGGCATGGCTGGTATCCTGCACACCAACGTGGGGCAGAAGTCCCAGAAATGGCCAGCGCCTTGCCAAAGAGGCCCGCCTGCTGTTGCAATGTCTGCAGTTTATGTAGTCACCCTTCAGATCATTTTGAGACCTGTTCACTTCAGTGTTCCTTCAACATTTTATGCCAGCGTATAAGCAGGACTCCTGAGGTGACGTAAGGGCTACTCTGGAGGGAGGCAGCCTCCACCCACCTGTGCTGTGAGGATAAGTTCGCTGATGATGTGGGCTGCGTGCTGACACCGATCCGGCAGACCCATGACCTGAGCAACTCTTTCTGGACTAATCCCATCATCTGTGGAGAAAGAGATGATGAAATACAAACCCCAAAGGGCAGGGAGACACACACCCCCTGCTTATAGCAAGCAAGCAAGAGCCGGGGCCAACCTAGCAGCAAAACTCAAGGGGAGCCGCAGAAGGGAATTTTAATTCCTACGGGGCGTACAAATATCATAGAATCATGGCGTCGGAAGGGGGCCTCTAAAGCCATTGAGTCCAGCTCCCTGCTCAGGGCAGGGGTCCCGATCCAAGCAGATCAGACCAGAAGGTGGTCCCATTCTCTCTTGAAGGCCTCCAGCGTTGGAATCGCTCACCCCCTCCCCCTGAGGTCATGGGTCCTATTGTTGTACTGCTCTAACAGTTGAGACGTTTTTCCTGATGCTCAGCCAAACTCTGGCTTCCTGTCGCTTGAGCCCATGATAATATATCCTGCACACTGGGATGATGGAGAACAGATCCTGCCCCTCCTCTATAGGACTACAAGTCTTTGAAAAGTAGTATCCTATTATCTCCCCTCTGTCTCCTCTTCTCCAGGCTAAACCTGCTAAGTTCTTTCCATCTTTCCTCCGAGTGCTTGTCTTCCTGACCTCCCACCCACCCCGTAAAAGCTGCAGCTGAAGGTTGAGATCCATGGTGGGGGGGGGGAAATGCCGCTGCTGAACCCCTGGACTCCAGCTCCCAGGCAGCAGAGCTGAAGGCCAGGACGGATGGGAGCTGTAGTCCGAACAAGATGGAAGGGGGCTTATCCTTCGCTCCTCCGGTCCCCGGCTCAGAGAATAGTGAACTGGAGGAAGCCGGGGTTTGATGCCACAGGACGCAGCTTCAATGAAAAGAGAGAAAGGAGATACCCACCACCTAAGAAATCACAGACCGCCATCTTAAAAATAATTTAAAAAAAAAAAAAAGTCCGACAAACCTGGTTTAAACTGAATTCTAACCCCAGCATCGTTCTGGATCTTTTTTATCATTTCGCCGTTTCTTCCTATTACGATTCCCACGGCAAACCTGGGCACTGAGACCTGCCGGAAGAGGAGGAGGGAAAGGGAGGAGATGGGGACATGAGTTTGAAAGGCAGGCCCAGAGGTGCGGGAGATTAAGAGACATCACTTGGGTTTAATGCAGAGGCAAGTGGGCTCAGGTAAAGAGGCCGCACGCGAGGGTGAGAAAAGCAGGACGACCCTCCCCATACGAGATAAAAAGAGAAGGCAGGCGTCTCTCTCTCTCTCTTTTTTTTTTTCAGGATATAGCATAACCAGATTTTCACCAGAAGAAGGACCATCAAATCACAGAACCAGCTATGTTGGCCAGAAACATTGTCCAAAACTTCATCAAAAGCAACAAAGCCCCGAGTTCCTTTTCCCGTGAGGGTGCAGAACTAATTTCCGCAAAGTCTAGTGCCGTGTTATTAGACAGAAGGGCTCTGCATCTTTGGGGTGCCCTGACCCATTTAACGGCGGTCTCCTGAACGTTGATGATTTGGCTCCATATTACTACAGTAGCAGAAATCTCCAGTCAGAAATGTCTGACTTTCTCAGCACCACTATTTTATCATTTATGTATTTAAAATATTTTTACCCTATCTTTCAAAAACAAAAAAATCCAAGGCAGCTTACATCCTTAAAAGACAACATTTAAAGCTGAAAAAAATGAAGATACAAGGGTGGTTTACATCCTGAAAAGACAATCTTTAAAGCTAAGGACAATGACTTTGTGCTTTAAAAATGAATTGTCTGTCTGTCTGTCTGTCTATCTCCAGCATCAGTATATCTATCTCTATCTCTCTTCAGCATCAGTTTATCTTGTGAAGCATAACTAGGTACCAGTGGAAGGACTTAAAGCAGGCTTAAGACTCCCCCTCCCCACTGCGTATATTCCTCCCCCCCCTTCCGTAAGGAAAGAGACAACAATGTAGAGGAAGGTAAGGGCCCTACCTCTATGCTCCCTCCGCCCATCCTGGAAGTGAAGTCATTGCGTACGCCTCGGAAGTCCGCCTGGTCCTTCTCTCGGATGATCTCCAGCACCATCTCTCTCGCTTGCTGTATCGTACAAGGAGCACAGGGGAGAGAGAGAGAGAGAGAGAGGAAAGGATTGGGACAACAGGGGGGGAGAGAGAGAGAGAGAGAGGAAAGGATTTATATTACGTGTCAAACAAAAGAGGCCTGTGATGGCACGGCAGGGTGGTACCTTAAGAATAAATATATAATCATACTCGTGTACCATCAAGTCAGTCCTGACAGAGGACGACCCTTTTGCAGGCTTTTACAGGAAGAGAAGAGAAGTGGTTTTACCTGTTTGCTTCTTCTGGAAGGGTGCCCTGGGACTGCGCCGCTGGCCCAAGGCAACCCAGGCTGGCTTTTCTCCCGGAAGGTCCAGTGGAGGGAATCGAACTCCCAGCCTCTGGCCCCGCAGCCAGAGAACTAGCATTCTGAGCTATCTAGCCAGCTATCCTGCAATGTATAACACTGACCATGTGCCATCAAGACAACGTTGACTTTATGCCCACCTTTTTTTCAGGGTTTTCCAGGCAGAGAATCATCAGAAGTGGTGGACCATTTCTTTCTGGCTTCTCATCCTGGGCAAACCCAGAGAATATCCTGCCCCCCCCCCCACCGGACACCAAAACCCTAGAAGGGCAAGCCTTCGATCATGGTCGTGGGAAGCTTCCTTCAGCCACAGAGGCTTCTCTCCTCCTTTGGAGAAAATTGATTAGGAACCTGGAATCTCCTGTTACTGTAAACTGCTTCGGAGGCTCCTTGGGAGAGGGAGGACAAAAGCCCCCTCAGGCCTGGCATTGGGCCAAATCCATTCACAGCGCTGAGCGCCTCCCTTCAAAGCAGCCTTCACAAAAGGACAGCATTTATTTTATTTATTGCCTCTACGGCTCCCCTGCTGTTCTCCCGAGAAGCTGAGATGGGAGGATTTGAACTCGGGTCTCTCCCTACTCCCTTTCCAATATCCTAACCACTGCACCAAATTATTACCCTGTCATTTCAAAAAAAAGCCCCCCTGAGTCTGGGCACCTCTGGTTTCTCCCGCGGCACAAAGTTCTGTTTGATTTTCTAGTTTTCTACACTCGGTCAAACGCAATTCGAGCGCTAATGGAAAGAGGAACAGATTGAACGGGACTGGTGAATCATTTCGGCCGTTAAGCTCGTGGTCCCCTCCCCTCCGTCTTTATGTGTGCAACCCGCCCGGGAGGGTGCAACTCACGCTGGCCACCGACAGCGCCATTATCGCAAATCCTCCTAAAACTCTTTATCAGCACGATAGCAAATCTTCTCCGATACACACCTGTACTTTAAAAGCATCTCCGGTAATCCGGAGAGGTTTATCCGCTCCAGTCGGTAAAGGGCCATCCTGGATCATAATCATTTTCACGCCTGTTCGTTCCTGCAGGCGATGGGGAGAAATCAAAACATGGAACGCAAAATTAAATGGAACGCAAGGAGGCGAGGAGGACAAGAGGGAGACAGAAGATGGCGACGAAAAAGGCTCTGACAAATTGGGAAGGGGGGTCCAGCATGGCGGGAAATACAGGATGTATATTGTTCCATTCCAAAATTAACAAGTTTTTTTTAAAGATCACCAGTAAGATTGCAAGGAGAGGTAGGTAATATTCTTTATCAGATCTCCTTTCTCCTAATAGTGGGATTCTAGGTGGCCTTATCCCTACCAATGGCACACTTTTATAAGCTTGCAAAAGTTTATGGGGTTTTTTTTGGCAAGAATTCAGGGAGCTGTAGACTAAGAAAATAACATTTTCAATGCATCCTGCAGGAATGTATCAAAAGGTCTCCGCGCCTAATTTTATCGTCTCCAAAATACAGTATATCAACAGGTGCAAGATAGACACACACCCCTCTCTATTATAAGCAGCAAAAAACATTAAATAAATTTTAAAAGTCCCAGAAAGGTCTGGCCTGACGGTGCCGAATCCGGTACACGGATCCTGGGCTTGCCGGCCACACGGTCTACCCCGCCCGATGCTCTCCTGGGGAGAAGGCGGCTCAGAGCCCGCAACGGACCCCCCCCTCCCAACGCTAAGCAGGACGAGAGAAGAGCTCTCGGGAACGAAGCAGGGCCCCCTGCCCACCTGCAGCTGCTTTATCGTCTCTCCGCCCTTGCCGATGACCAGGCCTACTTTGGAGGCCGGGATGAGGATCTCCTGGATGGTGCTGTTGCTGTCCACGTCGTTGTGGAAACCCGGCCCGTTCCGGCAGCGGTCCACAATCTGCCCCAGGAGACGCTTGGCTTGCCTTCAGGCGGTCGGGGAGGGAGGGAAACCAGAGAGAGAGAAAAAAGAAAGAAAACCATATTCAAGAAAATCGGCTATTAGATGGGAAACGCGTACTTCTCCCGTCTGGCTGGGTCTGAAAGGCGGGAGGTCGCTGGAATACAGGATGTTTAGAAGAAGGAGAAGATGAAAAAAAGAGGGGGGGGGAACGGAAACGTGAAGGTGACTGACAGTCACTACGGCCACCCTGCATTTTAGATCACACTCAAATACACACACAGAGAGACCCATTTTGTCTTCTGAGAAGGGGACACACGGCACGTGCTTCCAGAACCACCCCTCAAAAAAGATGCTTCTTTTTCGACAATCCCACCGGACAGAAGGAACTTCACCGCCTCCGCACGGACAGCTTTGTGAGCCGCCGTTTTGTGCACTCCAGGCCAGGCGCTGGGAAATTCCCACTTGGCAATGTAGAAAGATTAAAATTAAACTCTCTTTCAAAAAAGAGACCCCGAATCACAGAGAGAGAAAGACAGAGATCTGTGCAAGCAGCAGAACCCATCCTTCCGTGGCAGAGTCACACAGTGGGGCCTCTGGATCCGTAAGGGATCGGTTCCAAGAACTACCCCCACGGATGCTGAAAAACGCGGAATATTGCAAACGCTGTTATAATAGCAAACACTGAAGAAAGAGAGCACAAAAGGGCGAGAGAACAAACGAGAGAGAGAAATGGGTTTGGAAAAACTCACTCGATGCTCTCTGGCGTTCCGGTGAGCACACAGGGCCGTTCGGCCATTCCACCCCCGTCTGCAGAGACAGGACAACAAAAGGAAAAGAAGATGAGTACTTAGCATCCTATACAGTAGGATCCCCCCCTATCCACAGGATCGGTCTGTGCTGATTCACTTATCCGCTGGCTGAAAACACTAAATAAAAAAACCTCAGAAATATGAATTTATGTGTATTTCCAAGGTGTATCCACCAGAACTGTCCAATAAAGGGAGACAGAGACCACGCAATGCATAGCATTTAAAAATAATAATAAACACAACCGCAGTAACTTCCATCTGCAATTTCGGTGACAAATCTCCATATAGAGTTCGTTTAACAGATACAGACTGGGTTACACTGCTTGACCCGCAAATTGGCATTAAAGCACAGCGAAAGGAGAGGAGCGGGAAAAGCCTCACCTGGCGCGATTTGAATTTTGCACCCTGACTCCGCCTGAATCCGGGAGATCTGCTCACCGCCCCTGCCGATTACTGAAAGAAAAATGAAGAGCAGGTCAGGAAAAGGAACACACCCGAGGTGCTGAAGATAGCTGTCACATGAGAGCGGATCAGGCCGGGCTGGATGGCGTGTGGTTCTGGGACCAGATTTAGCCCACGTCTTCCCCCATCTTTCCTCTAAATCCACTTTTGCTCCTGGAAGCTTCCAGGAGTGGTGATTCGCCTTTGAAAATCTGATTTAAATCAGATTGACTGAAATCACAATTAATTTTTTAATCATTTAAAAAAAAATTTAAACTGTGACTTAAAACAACTTGTTTTTTTCCCCAAAAATCATTAAAAAAAATAAAATCTACCCTGCTTCCAGTTGTACGTTGTTGAGCACCCTCCCGAAGGACCTAGGGTCACAAAGGTGGTCCCAGGCCCCCTAAATCTCATCCATCTGTTTCCCCAAGGACTGGAACTGGGAACCCTACACGAGGAAAGCATGGCTGCCGACAGAAAGCAATGGGTTTTCTCACGAGAGATGGGAACGTTTCTCAGTTTGGAGGATCAGGCCCGTAGGGGTTGCCCGGGCACTCTGGCTTCTGTGCCCCGCCTCCTCCCGCAGCTGTCCAATCAGAAGCAGAGCCACAGGCTTCCAGGCCCTGCCTCCTCTGTGTGGGCGGCTGCAAGAGGAGGCAGGGCATGGAAACCAGGCATTCCCATCCAACCCCCGTGGGCCCGATCCTCCGAACCGCAATAAGTCTTCACTTTAAATGACTCCTCAGTGGTGCATCATTTTCTAACACACACACACACACACCCCTCTCAATCCTCCTCAGACTCCTCTCCTTGGCACCCTTCTCAGCAAAGTTTGCCTGCCTAGATCCTTAACGGCAGGTCGCTGTGAGCACTCAGAAAAGTAACTAAATTATCCTCAATTGATTTTAAAAAGTTCACAGGAAAAAGCCATTTCCCCTCCAAATTGCCACATTCTCAGCAGCATTAACAGGCCCCACGCCGCTCCACCGAGCGCTACCTATCATAATACAAATTAGTCTTCAATGGAGTGAGTATTTCAGGGGGCCCATAGGCAGCGAAGAGGAAAAATAGATCAAATATATATTTTATATACATGTACGTATATGTAATATATTTTTTTAAAAAATAATCCAGTGTACTTACTGAATCCAACCATTTTGTCAGGCACTTTAAATTCTTCGGTTATTACTGCCCTGAAAGGAAGACAAAGAGAGATCAGAACGCTCGTTACGACCCGCGTAAATTCTTCGCCTTCCTCGGAACAGCGACAGTCACGAAACAGATTAGTTTGCGTTCCCAACAAACGAGATCGACGTTTCGGAAATGGCGCGGCTTATGTCAACGGTACCCTTGAATATAAGCCGAGCCCTACTCGAGAGCCACTTCACTGAGCTTAGAAAGGCTTGCGTTAGTCACGGCTTAAGTGGGTTGACTTGTAAAGTAAGACGGCGTCCGGAACCAACCTATTATTATAAGCTCGCTTTCTAATAAAAACAAGCTTATAGCAACGTACTAGGCGGCTAGGGGTGGGAAGGTTTAGCCAAAGGCTGGTGGTCTTCCACAATTACGTGTCCGTCTGAATTGGCGAAAACGGGTGGCGAAGGCCAAGAGATGGCCAACTAGACCAACAATCGCTAATCGGAGTGGGGAAAAAACACACCCCTCCAGGTCCACCCCTTCAGCCACACCGCCCCACACACGGTGGATTACACCCTGTGCAAAGGTTACACAGAGCCAAGCATCAAACTCAGCAGTGGCCAAATATTTCGGATTCGTGGCTCCCTTGATTTACTGACCACTGGCCACGACTTCCCTTGCTCAGAGGATCGTGATAAAAAGCACAACCCCTCGCAGCTATCCCATTTTGTCTCTCCCCCCCCTCCCAAATATCCACCCACCTCCTTCCAGGTCCTGATGTTGGAAGCTCACAAGACCATTGGGGACAAGGAGAGACAGAAGCACACAGCCTCCACTTCCTGATGGACACCGTGCTAGGAACAGGTCCTCTACAGCCTTCATAGATCTATGTTTTCTCCCTTCCCCCACAGCTCCTGTGGGGTGGGTTTCCGGACACACACACACACACCCGGGCACCCAGTTTGGGAACCCCTGATCTGATTTCTAGCATAGGGTTTATTTTGTTTTCTGTCTCAAAGGCATCGCATCAGAATGCTTAAACCATAGTTAAGAGTTGGTTATAACCGAGAATATGAAAAACCTGGTTTGTAGCCTAATGACAAGCTACCATTACATTCCATTTTTTGTGTGTGAGCGGTATATAAAGTGAACCTTGACTCTCTTTCCGTACAAGGTAAGAAACGCACGTTGCGCCAGCTTCTCACCTCTCCGAGAGGGGCAGGATTCTGATCATACAGGTTTGACTCTGGGGCCTTAGAGGCCCCTTCCAACTCCCTGATTCTAGGCTTCTGACGTTCAAGGTATGCTCCATACGGACAACATGGAACCAATTCATATGCTAAAAGCATGTACTCTGTAAATCCTGTTACATCTGAGGAGCACGGCCTCTCAACAGCTTCAGAGAAAGAACGAAGGGGATGATTACTGCAGACATGGTGCATGTATTTCTCACGAAGAGGCCTCCAAAAGGTCTCATGTCTGGCTCTCCCGGAGTCTCCCAAACGGAGGATACGCCTTGACAGATAAGAGGTTCCAACGTCCAAGGCTGGGATCCAAAAAACCCACTGCGTGGGCCCTTCCCGGCACATCATGTGACAAGTCGGCTTTTGAACTGGACGGGAACTTTGGAAAAGACCTGCTCTTCCACCTTTCAAAAGAATATATTCTTCTCAACTCAAGCTGTACTTCTGGGTGGCTGAACTCAACACAATCTTCTTCTTTGTACTTCCGCCTGCCTCACTTTCTTCCCTAGGAAACGCATCATCCTAGTATGTCAAACCAAAGGGAAGAACTTCAGCCTAGAAAAGAGTAGGATAGTGGAAGGGAAGGAAGCGAGGGGGGGGGGGAAATCCAGCCTACGTAGTTCTGCCACGTTCTCAACCTCTGACTCCCTAACACTCCACTACAGATGGCAGATCAATAAACAATTAGAAGTGATCAATAAATAATAAAACATAACCCACAGCTTACCTTTGATGTACCAGGGCCCCTAACTGGTTACCTACTGCGGCAGAGAAGAGAGAGAAAAAAAGAAAAATCAAAGCATTAGCACGGATAAGCTAACTTCAGCTCTATAGAGAGAGAGAAAAAAAGAGAAGAGTTCTGGCCATTTTCATTGAAATGGGAAAGAAAAGGAGAAGCGCAGCGAAAAACAGCAATTTGGGTTCAAACGGAGGCGTTGCGCGCGGGGACCGAAAACAGGAAGGGACGTCTTGATCGACAACAGCCTGCAAGCGAAGTGTCCAGCTGAACGCAGGATGGGAAATTGATCCGCCTCGCTCTCACGCTGAGAAGCATGGGGGAGAGAGATTCCTGCTCAAGCGCTGCCTTCCACCCCCCCATCATCCTCCCCAAATCCATAGAAAAGTACCGTCTGCCCCGCCCGAAAACCTTCCCAAATTAAACCCGGTTTCCAGAAGATCAAGCGGATTGGTACACGTGGAGAAAAGAAGGAGCAGCCAAAACACAGAAATTTGGGGAGTCTAATCGAAAGCATTGAAAGAGAGAGAGAGAGAGAGATTGAGAGAAATAAAACTACGCGAAAGCTGCCTCCAACATACTTCTCTGAGTTTCTCTTATCTGTGCTCCATGGAGCCAACTTAAACGAAGACCTGTTAAAGGAATAGGGCGGTTAAAGTTCCTTGCGTCACCAAGTTGCGTTATCAAACATTTCTACTCAATCTGACGGGGGGGGGGACTACGCGAAAGCTGCCACGGTGGTCTGGCGGTCCCCCAATCCCGCGGATCCTAACCCTCGGGGGCCAGGAGCGCCAGGCTCCGTGAGAGCCTTGATTCCCTCCTAGGCAGAATTTAAAAATGGGAGAGAAAGAGAGAGAAATGGAAGACGACAGACATAGTTATAGGAAAACATCATACAACACTTTCGAGAGACCCGTGGTTTCCCCAGAGGTTCTTGGACCAAAACTCCCGGAAGCCTTCACCATGATCTGCGCGAGTCAGGTTTTCTGGGAGTCGTAGTCCAAGAACATCTGGGAGACCCTAAGGGTGGGAAGCACTGATTTAAGACTACCCCTTCTTGGCTCCAGAAATTGGCAATAGTCCTGCCTGATACCTCCAGCGAAACAATTGTCTGTTTTAAGGCTATCCGCACCCACGGGGCCCATATACCGTATTTTTCAGCGTATAAGACTATACTTTTGTCTAAAATCTTTGGACTAAAAATTGAAGGTCATCTTATACACGGAAGTAAGCTGAGGAGAGAACAAAAAACAAGCGGAGGGGAAAGCAGGGATCAAAGCGGTCCTGCAACGCTCTGATCCCTTTCCCCCTCCACATGCTAAGCCCCACTTAGATTTCTTAATTTTGGGTTAGAAAAGTCTTATACATGGGGGCGTCTTATACACTGAAAAATACGGTATTCTGTCTTCAACATTGGAAGGGACCCCCTCCAGTCACTTCTGGGTGTGATGAGAAGGAAAAGGGGGGCAGCCCTCAGAATTCCAGTAGAGTGGAAAACTGGGGGGGGCTGTGCCTCCAGTACCTTTCACAACTGCCCACCCTGGCAAGACACCATGGATGATAGGGAAGAACCACTTGCATCTAAGCCTCAGGAACACACCTTTCCTCACCTTCCCCCCGCAGTGCAACTTAACAACACAATTCTAAAGTGTTCACTAGAGTTTTTAAGGCAACCACAAGCTGCCATCATGTTACATTAAATTTAAGTAAATGTACCCAATCCTAACAGATCTCGGGAATCCCTTCAATTAAAATGATCTTGCTATTTCTCACGCATTGTGAGGATGAAGGCAAAACACCACATCCATAATTATACAGTATTCCTTTTTAGCCTTCACAGATCGAACCACCAAATATCCCCGAGGTCATCCAAACGAATTTAGGACAATTGTTACTTAAGTGGGATTTTGATGGCTGTTAATTTACTGTCGAGTCACCACTGCGGAGTAGCAGGTATAATGACAGGCGACAAGAGAGGAGACCCTTGGTTCAAAGCCCTGCTCGGCCATAGATACTCACTTAGGGGTCGCAATGTTAAAGCTCCTTGTCAAATAATCTGCCAGGATTGTCATGAATCAGAAGCAACCGGACAGTAAACAACAAGGATATTTCATGTTATTTCTTAATTATTTCTAATGATGTCCCTAAATTTTCCCCAGTAAGCTAAGGCAGCGGATATGGCTTCCTGCTCCCTACTCTGTCCCTAAAAAGGAACTCTTCAGAGTGTATATTCTGACGTCTCCCTAACTGAAGAAAGGGCATCATCATCACATTAAACACTCACTCTTTAAGAAAGGCGAATGCGAGGACCAACATGTGCCACTCAATTTCATTTTAAAAAATAAAATACAGTAAATAAACTGAATTAAGATGCCCCTTTCTGCTAGAAAACATCTAACATCATTCAAAAATCCACTGATTTCCATAATTCTATTGTTGATTAGAGTATGGTTAGGGTTCCAACTTATGGCAAACTCAGAAGGGTTTTGAGCCAAGGAGCAACTTTAAAAAAAAACCAGCCTGATCTGTTGTTAAAAGCCTTGCCCCCAGCCTCACAACTTATCATTTTCTTGGAAAAGAGTTATCAATAATCCAGAATTCCTCCCCACCCGGCTGGTATCTGACACATGTTTGACTTTCTTATGGGCTGGACATCAGCCTGTGGAACCCGCTCCCACAAGAATCTAGACTGCTCCCCACCACCACCGTTGCTCTCCAAGAAGCAAAAAAAGACCTTTTTTATCCCAGCAGACTTTCAGAAACCATCTGGCAGCTTTTAATGCACCAGCGCAGTGCTCTCTTTAAAGAAGCAATCATACTTAAATTTCTTTTGAAATTTTATGGTAACAGGACAAATTTCTGTATATTTTTATCTGCACCTGTTCTTAATCTCTCTTGATTTGGAGGTAAGCCGCAGGGTGGAGAAAATACAATGATTTTTTTAAAAAAAATCAAATTGATTTAAATCATGATTTAATTTTTTTAAGAAAAAAATCAATGTTTTCATTTAAATGCACAAAAAAAATTCCAAATTTTTAAAATTTAAAATCGTGAATTTAATCAAATGTACCCTGGTGACTCTTTGGCTCCTATTTCTAGCAGGAAAAAAAAACAAAATAGAATATAAATCAGATAAACAAACAAAATAAAACGAACGAACGAATAACTCCCATCATCCTCAAGTTAATGGCCAACGGCGTCTTGAAGGCCCCGGGTGAACCAAGGCAGTGACAGCAGCTTCGGTAAACACCGGGACCCAACGCAAGAGGTTGTGTGGAAAAAAGAGAAAGCAGCAATTGTGTATACACACAAATACACACACACCTCTCTACTTCTGAAGAAGTACCCAACTTAATTGACGTCGTTCGGGGAAGTGCAGACCTAGCCGAACATTACACAGAAATGGCCCATTCAAAGCTAACAACCAGTTGAAGCCCATTTCAATTACGCTGTATTGCCGAGGGGCAGAAATGGCAAGCGCCATGGAAATCGACCGATGTCGCAATGAGATACATTTCCCGAAAACCTTTTTTCTCCCCACCTACCCAACATATTCGTTTTGACCTGAAATGGGAAAACGGCCACCTCGGGAGTCAAACGTGGGGTGAAGCAAACGGAGAAAGGGATATGAGCAATACCGGAAGTGGGGGAAAAAAATATTAAGTCTTTGCATTAAGCACAGATGTTGCAGATAAATAAACAAACAGACAACTAATCTATTTCTATTTTCTCTCTGCTGAATGCGTAGCAATACAGGACCCCAAACTTATTGATCAGATACTTATATTTTTATCGCCTTTTTGTTTCATAAAAGTGGACTTGCCGCTGTGTTATTGACCTCCAGAATATTTCCATTACCAGTCGACAGAGCTCTTACTGGTGTCCGATCAAACGAGAAGAAGAATCACGGGCGAGAGCCACAGATTGGGGGGGAAAGTGTATTTTAGAGGAGATTATAACTGAAAGAATACTCTAGCCAAAGATGCAGGGGGATCAGTCCAAAAACAAAAAAAATCTGTAGAACCAAAAGATGGGAATGTCTGATCTCTGATGGGTGTCGCAACAAACCAAGGTTTGTTTCCCTTCTTTGTGGGAAGGCTTTATGCCTGACTATCTAAACCTGGAATTTTGGAAATATTAAAGGTTTGTTTCTCCCTCCCCCCTTTGGTCTAATGACAGTAACAATAAACTGTACTGTACTCCGTTGTCGCAAAAGACAACACACACCACAACACGGACAAGTTGTAACAGAACACAGATCCTGTTCCCTAGGAACCCACTGCGGGGAAAATATTGGTGCTTAAAAAACAAAAAAGAAGACAATAGAGCTCAAAGCTGCCTAAACAATCTCAAAGCTCCATCTGCTGTCAAATGAGCCCATATATATATCTATATTTTTAGCGGTGCAAAAAGAACACCTAATAGAGAGAGGTGAACGCGGAGGGCAGAACGCGGGCTGCTTTTTACAGTCCAGGCAGGAAACGTTCCCATCAAGGCTCTGAAATAGAAGAGGAGGAACGGCTGAACCCACAGGCCACCTCATTCCCTCTGCCTCCCTCCTTTTACATCTATCGAGCCCAATTTAAGTTTAACGGCAGTCATTTTACTGCAAAATAAGGAAAAAGACTGCATAAAATCAGCCCCCATTTCCCCCGTTAACGGCAACAGCCATTCAAATTGCTCGCCCATCCTGCGTCTGGGTTCAGGTGAACCGAGGTAGACCCTAAAGAGACACGCAACGAAAGGCCTTTTTTTCCCCCCTGCCATATTCGATGGTTGCCTTCCTTGCATTTTAATGAGACGTGGGGAGAACTCGTTCGTGGATTGCGCCCTACGCGCAAGCAAACTCGGACAGCTTTCTGATCTCCCAACCAAGCCAAGCCACCATATTGCCTCGATCCATGGACATTTATGCAGGCCGGAGAGGCTTCTATGAAAACACGTCCTTATTTTTTTTAGAAATGCGGGTTTGTTAAATGGGTGATGCCATAAATAAATACAAGAGACGTTCACCTGGATCCTCAGAAAAGGAGAGGTGACTTTCCATCCAGAATCAAGGTTTTAATTATTATTTTGTTTTCAGAAGACATCATGAGCGTGCCAAGCCCTCCAGGTCTACTAAAATGAGTAAATGTTTAGAATTTACAGGGGCTTTTGAAATGAATAAAAAGGGGCATGAACTCATATAATGCGTGCCTTCCTGGACTAGACTGCACTGTGTGAGAAACAGCTCTGGGGTTTAAACATCTGGCTCTAGAACCAGAGGTTGGGAGTTAGAATCCCCACTGGGCCTCCTGGACTTGATGATGATGATGATGATGATCATCATCATCATCATCATCAAAATAAGCAAACTGAATGTTCTGGAATCAAACATAGACCCAACCAAGTGGTGTAGTCAGAAATATAATAGGGTATAACTTTGTAACAAGTTTTACTAAGCAAAAATTTAAAAAAAAAAGATATTTCAAAAACAAACATTTTTCAAACACACTTTAGTCAATGGATACACACTTGCTAAAAAAGGATGTTTGGGGTGGAAAAAAAAACCTTTTGCAAAAGGGTAGCAAAAAGATGTAAACTTCCTGCGTTCCTCTCCGCTTTGCAATCACGTGCTAACTCAGCAGGGACCGGGGCTGAGTTTAAAAAAATAAAATAAAGAGTCAGCAAATGTTTCTCTGGATTCAAAGAAGCGCATCCCTTTGAGCGGATAAAGCCGTGTTTTTTAAAAAGCCTCTTTCAAACACCGGTCTTGGTTTGCAACTACAGCAGGTATCCAATGAGCCTTACACTCCAAGCTTAGAAAGCGACTTTCTAAAAGCACTTAATTCTCTTTACTACTTCATGTTTAAAAAGTCACTGGCTGTTTTTATTCGTTGAAATATGAGGGGGTGGGAGCCACTGATGAGACCAGGAGCAGGGAGGAGAGAGAAAGCATTTCCCCTTTAACCGGATCAAATGAAAAATAAGATCCCTGTTTTAATCGTAAACGGGGCAGGCGGGCTAAGGAGGCCATCCAGAAGACTCTCTTAAGGAAAGTGATCGCTGTGTTTAAACAGAGCGGCGCTTCTCTGTGCAGTTCGTTTAATACAGTTTTTTCGCGGCGTAGTCCAGAAAGGAGAACAGGTTTCCAAGCAAATCATTGCAAGAGCGGACGGGGAAGAAAGAGAAAAAGCAAATCGGTTCGACATTTCGACTTCCATTTCAGATCGGCCAATTCCAGCCGCTGCAAGGCAGAGAGAGAGAGAGGATGACTATTTTACAGGAACTTCAGAGGGTGGGTGTTAAGAAAGCTTGGCCCAACGTGACTAAGCCCCACCTCCCCGCAACCTTAAACAACCACATCAGCTCCCTGCTGGAGCGGCTCAGATCCATAATCTTCTCTACCCATCAGCTGCCCATTTACAGAAATGGGCAGGGACCACGTGCGAGTCCTCTCCAGAACCTCCCCCCTGCCTCTTCCCGGCTCTTAGGAAGCAAGGATGGAGAAGATGCATGAGTCACGGAGAGAGAGAGAGAGAGCGCGGTAAAAACTTCTTCGAAACACTGACGACCATTCTTCCCCCTGAACGGAATTTCTCTCCCTCACCCAGAAGGTGACAGCTCTCCCCTGAGGGTACAGAAAAGCCATTACTATCGTAGTAATTTTAAGCTGGGGATCCACATGGGGAAGCTCAAGGAGGCCTAGTCACTTACAGAAGACACGGGTGTACTATTTAGGCGAGGCACAGTCTGTAGCCAGAATGGTCCAGGTGGAGCTTTTGCAACCCTGCATGCTGCTTTTAGTAGGTTGAACTGGGGAGGGACCCTTTCTGGGTTGGAGTGACGGTCAGTCTACGTAACACTAAACAAATGTTCCGTACTGCCTCTGGATTCAAAGGGAGCCCTGCCTCTCTGCTCTGCGCTGTTTCCCTTTCCTGAGTCTGTTTATTTATTTAAAATATCCCCCCCCGCCTTTCCCCTTAAAAGGACCCCAAGTGACTTACAACAATTAAAAGAACTAAAGTTGAAGTCTGTTGCTGAAAGCAGTCGTGCTTCTCAGTCTGCTGTTCCATCTATTCAACTGTAAGTAATGAGGCCTTTTATTCTTTCCCCCACTAGCGTCTCAGAGCAAGTTATTGAGACTCGGTGAAAAGAGGGTGGATTAATCTGGGGAATTTTGCAGCTATTCTGCTCTGTAAATTTGTGCACCTCTGCTGCGCAGCTAGAAGAATTTATCCCCAAATTCCAAAACTCTGCAACAGGACTTTGGAGATTTGAGTTCTAATACCCACTGAGCCATCGGAAGATTTCAGCCTCGCAGGCGCTCAACACAGTCCCTCTCTCTTTCCTCACCCAGACCAACCTCAAAAAGCTGCTATGAGGATTAAAGAGTACTTGATTTAAGGCAGAAATGTAAGAAATTTGCTACGTTTCTCAGTCTCACCAAGAAAGACTGTCTGACCAAACCAAAAAGATCGACCGTATAAGACTTCTCACAAGAACAGGATAAGGTTTGTTTTCATTAAGGAGCAACGTACAGCCTGCACAGTTAAATTGCAAACTGACCAGAGAGTTGTAAGCAACACACTTTTGCTTTTTATTCTTTTTCGACAGGAGAGAAGAAACAGCACCCACAACAGAAAAATGCCATTGCCATTGGGCAAAATATCAGCCCGGTTAGGTTCCCACACAAAGGAATCACTACCTGACAAAATTCTTCTTTTTTAAAAAAACCATTCCGGCTTATTGTGAACAACCACACACATTTCTACATGCTTTCTGATCGCTTCCTGCTTTGTTTACGTCACCGACAGAAGGGGTTCGAACCAGCCAGGGTCACTGGCCTTCCGGCTTCACTCAGCCCAGCTTTGCGTGAATCTTACGTCACGAGGGGAAACCCCGGTTAAGGACTCTGGCTTTTAAAGAAAGGAACGAGACACGGATCCTGGCCTGGAGACCACATTTAGACGAACAAGAGAATGGAGAAAGCTTTCACTTAGCTGCTCATTGGCAGGTTATAGGATACTGTAATTCTGCGTAACACTCTAGCTATTCCCTCTGGGACCGACACGCTTGCGAAACCCACCCCTATCTTCCTCTTTTCTGAAACAGAAGGCAAGCTACGACTCAACCGAATTTTCGGTTCAGCAAAGATTTGCTGATCTGGCTTTATCAGCACCGTCCAAACCCAGCCATTGAATAAGACCTCCTGTTAAGGCCCAACGTTTCGTCGCTGCAGTTCAACAACCTCCCCACTGATTTATCTCGGCAAAGACTAAATACAGGGTCCTCGAGCCCTTTTGAAGATTAGGTCCTCTGACCGTTCCCCAAATTACAGGACGCTTGTTTTTCCTTCCTGAGCAGGCCTCTGGTTTCTGCACCCCTTCCGGGAAAAAAGAAAGAGGCGCCAGCAACAAGAAATGATGTGAAGAAGGAAAAAAACCAGACAAACTAAGGAAAGGAGAGAAACTTACTTCCGTCATCCAGAGGCCGTTTTACTCCGTAACCGTACAGGGCAGGATCCACCAGTGCTGCGGAGTTATTCAAGTGAGGGATCTCTCCAATTTTAGCAGCCATTTGCTAAAGGAGGAGAAAAGGAAATACGTTAACATGGCGGCGACAACTTATAGGGCTGCAGGGTCCTCCCAAAAGGCAGCCTTTCCTGAAGAAGCTATAAAAGAGGGAGGCAATCTGGAGCCTTAGATTTTGGTGTTGTCCTATATTTTTAGACTGCTACAAGTCCTGACCGTGGGCTGAGGACGATGGGACCTGCAATCCAAGCCCTAGAGCCGTGTTGCCCAACCTTTTTCGAGATGCAGCAACATCACCCCAAGGCGTGGCTGGGGAGGGAACCCCCAGATCCCACAAGAGAGTGTCGGCCATTTGAGGAGCAGACACCCCCACTTTTCTCTGGAGGAAGAAAAAAGAGAGGCAGGAAAGGACTTTTTTGGACCGCACACCCCATCCGGCCACCCCCCAGTTCTCTTCCTCTCTAGAAACCCAACACAGTGATTTTAACCCTTGCTAAGAAAGCAACGAGTAACCTGTAATCACAGGCATAGACATCCATGGCCCTTTAAAGCCCAGCAACCCCCCAAAAACACAATCTGTGGCCCTCTTGGGGGTCACGACCGACACACTGGGAACCCGTGCCCCAGAGTAACCCCCTGATCTTAAACATTCCCAAATATTTCATCACAACAACACAATTTCTCCCAAACTGGTGGGTCCCCCAACTTCCATCATAATCAGTGCCATTAATCAGAGATAACAAGAGCGTAGCATCAAGAGTAAATAAATGTCACGTGCCTTTAAAGTGTTTTGCAAAGGGTCTAATTGTTTTCTCACTGTGCGCCAACAGTTGCTACTCTCTTTTCAGACCTACGAGCAGCTAACGGTGTTCCCACCGGACGGAAATCACAAGCTTTTATCTACTTGGAAGACACACACACACATATCACTGTGGCAGGACTAAAGTTGTGCTCCCCTCCCGGTCAAGTCAGATGTGAGCCGCATAGGTGACCCGATGCTGGTTTATCTTTCAAAGACTGTGGCAGGACTGAAGTTGTGCCCCCCCCCAGTCAAGACAGATGTGAGCCGCATCGGTGACCCGATGCTGGTTTATCTTTCAAAGACTCTTGACTCGGAAGCCACCCATCCTGCTATTTTTCTTTGGGGGGGGGAGCTTGTTTTTAATAGGGACTGGGGCTTAAAGACTTGTCAACATCCCTGCTCCGATGTCAGAACGACGTCTCCTTTCTGCCGCACGACCTGTGCGTCAAGAGAACACTCTGCCCGGGACCCACCTCTTCCAGCATTTCGGAGATGATGTAAAGTAAGAGGCAGTGCATGCAAATACCACATGGGGATCAATGCAGCATCTTCCGGTGGATCTCAAGGCATGGACAGGAGAGGGTAAGAGACAACGAGGAACTCGCGTATTTATTCAGAGCGCCTCGCGCACCACCCCAAGGATCCGTAAGTTCCCCCTCTTGGGAATAATTTGTTAAGAACGCACCTTGTATTTCAACAAGCAGTTTTCAATTAGGAAGGGAAAAAAGGATAATTTGGTAAAGCCACTGGGAATTGATCAAATACGGCTGCTTTCATAGCCCAGGCTGACGAACCTGAGTTATCTCTTCTCCCGAGGCCACAGGGGAACAATCCAATCTTAAACACAAAGGCTGGTTTTCACAGAAATTAAATTAGACTGATTTTAAATTGAAATGGTCCTAATTTTGGTTAGGATACAAGCAGAGAAGCCGTTTCCCCCGTATGGTTTGATTTCATCTGTCAATATAGGCAGGTTAAAACCATTCAAATAGCTCTATAAATAATTATGTTCACTTTCGCGACAAACTTGTCTAGGTCTCTTCTTTGTCTGTGTTCTGTGCCTGAACCAACTTAAGAGTGACCCTAATACACCTTTCAAGGTAAGTGAGAGATTTAAGGAGTGGTTTTGACCAATTCCACTCCCCCAGGGAGTTACCATGGCTGAGTGGGGAATTTGAACCCTGTTCTCCAGAGTCCTAGTCTGTCGCTCTATATGCTACACCAATGTGAATCACCAGACTATGCACAAAGCATACTAGAATGTTACAAGCCTGCGACAGTGAAGTGGGTTGCACCACTTCACCGTACACATGGAAAAGACATTGAAAAAATATAAAGCTTTCCCACAAAACTTTAATACACATAAAAACTAACACATGGGGGGGGGAACCTTGGCCCCTGCAAATTCTCACTCCCCCCCTTTTTTTCTGGGTTTATCTTAACAGCGTAGGAGCATTTTAAAATGCTATAAATAGAATGTGTTCTGACGTTGCTTCTGTTTACCACCTTTTACAGGGACATTTATTTGAACTTTTTAAAGTATTTGTACACTTATTGTTTGTAGTTTCAATTTTGTCTTTGAATGATGCACACACCCTTCTTAAGGAGCTAGGCAGGGTAGAAATGTCTTAAATAAATAAATCTTGCACGCAGTCATTAGCAGCATATTTGAGGCTTATAATCTCATTTTGCTGTATCCAGGGGTCATAGCTAAAAGCACCTCTCTTTCCTGACGGTGGGGTAAGGGTTAGGCTCGACATCTAATTATTAATTCCAATTAGAGGCAAGTTCTCCGAACCAATTAGGACGCTGCTAAATCAACACATAGGCAAGCCCCTCTTGTTTCACTGTGCCTACTCTAACCGAGTCTAAGAGTTTGGAATTAAGTTGAGACATCTAATGCGTTCGGACAGATCACACTGCTTTGGTACGGGGAAAAAACTGCAAAGTTCAAAAACTATTTACATGAGCGAGATCTGGCTTCGCTTCAGGCCACCAAACTTTGTCCTTCCCATCCACTTTCTTGGTTGCGGCTGTCCAGCGAATATTTCCAACCCCGATTATATAACGCAATGTCCTTGCAGCACAAGAAGAGAGGAACAGAGAAGCGGGCAGCCCAACAGATCGCCAGGCGACGCTGAGTAGGGAAAGAGTTGGCAAACAGAACTGGAGATTAAGGCAAGATAGTTTCCTAACAGGGCACGTTCTAATACATCGAACAACATTTTTAACTGCCCTTCATTCAAATAGCCATGCAAGGCAGCGTAGGGGAAAGAATTAAGATGGTCCATATATAGCCAGCGTGGTACAGACCCTGGAGTGCTGGAGAATAGCGTGATTAATCCAGACCTGAATCTTCGCTGTGCCATGAAGCTCTTGAACCAGACTCACCTCACAGGGGTTGATGTGTGGATAAAAATCAGGGAGGAGATTATAGGAAGCTCTTGAACCAGACCCACACCTCACAGGGGTTGACATGTGGATAAAAATCAGGGAGGAGATTATAGGCTGCCTTAATGAATGGAAGGACTGTCGCTTAATAGATAATAATAACAACCACAGCAACAATACTAATTAAATGATCGTAGAGATGATGTCAAAAGGGGGGGTGGGGAGTTCTATGCTTCTTGGAACCAGTGTCTACACAATTTTGGACCAACTAAAGTTTCCAAACATTCTTCAAAGTTAAGACATACACAGAGCATCGTATTGTAACCGGAGCAAGGTCTACTCAAGGGATGTGTCACATCCTGGAGGTATGAGCCCCCCCACTTCAGCACCCACATTCAAAAATCAAAACAGACCCTCCTGTTCACCTTTAAAGAAGAAGAAAACCTACCATTTTCGGGATCTGTGGAGCACACAGAGGGCATCAATCCGTCCCCCAAGCTTCTTGAGTTGGTTCCAGCCTAGCTGTAGCCCAAACACAACAGGAAGCCATCCAGCGGATGAAGCTTGGTGCAGACAACACTCTAAGTAAGACTGTGATTTCCCAACCTTGGGTCCACCAAATATTATTGGACTCAAACTCCCAGAAGCCCGCACTGGCCAATATTTCTGAAAGTTGTACTCCAAGAACATCTGGAGACACAAGGTTGAGAACCACTGTTCTACGGCAACTTCCTCTACTCTTACCCAACCCTAGGACCCTATATTTTATAAGAACGTCAACTGTAGAGAAAAATCTAAGAAATCACAGGGACATTTTCCCCTTTCAACAGGTCTTTCAGTGGGTTCGCTTCATTTTTGTGCCTCCACAGCTCTACTACGACTGATAAAAGGAGCCATTAGAAACCCTACGGAAATCCTACAGAGGTGACAAAGCCACCATCTGGCCCCTCGCAACCAACGATCCCACTTTAGGGACGGGAGACGCGACGGACTGTCCTTGGACCACAATGTACAGTGGTGCCTCGCTTAACGAGCAACGGACTGTCCTTGGACCACAAGGTACAGTGGTGCCTCACTCAACGATGTTAATTGGTTCCAAAAAAATCGCTGCTAAGCGATTTCATCGCTAAGCGAAACGCGGTTTCCCATTGAAATGCATTGAAAACCAGATAATCTGTTCCAATAGGAACGAATTGCCGTCCTTAAGCGAAAATCGCCATAGGAAACATCGCTAAGCGAATTGCAGTTCCCCAATTGAAATGCATTGAAACCTATCCAATGCATCTCAATGGGGGGGAAATACAACAACAAATTTAAAAAAGAGTCAGAACAAAGTCAAATTTGGTTAACAAAGGGTTTGTTAAGTGCACTTTATGATTTCAAACATTTTAAACAGTAAACTTTAACTTTATAAATAACAGAAAAACATTTTAAAAACAGCAAACATGAGGCTGTTTAAACCATCATTAAGCAAAACAGGGGACCCAAAATTTTATCGCTATGCGAAGCATGGTCCCAACCATCGCTAAGCGAAAATCACCCATAGGGACCATAGTTAAACAAAGCATAAAAACGCTCTGAAAAAGTCGTCGCTAAGCGATTTCATCGTTAAACGAAGCAATCGCTAAGCAAGGCACCACTGTATATTAAAATCCCACAAAGGCCAAGTGACCTGCAACAATTAACAGCAGCCTTGTTTAGATGACACATTGACACCCTCCTAGCTGTTCTGCAGCACCAAAGCCCATCAGGCAGCTCCATCCCACAGCAAAACAACAAGGAACCCAGTAAACAAAGGTGAATTAGCGTTCCAGGATGCCTTTATGAACACCAATTCTCCTTTGAATAGGGCCTACACCATCTAAAGAGCTTCATCTAAAGAGCTGACCAACATCTGCAGTTTTTCTCACCACAGATTTCTTTAAAAAGGTGTCCTGAAAACTGTGACACACATATACACCACTTTGGAGAATTAAAAAAACTCTGCTGTTTCCCAGTGGAACATTCCCAGTTCCTGCACTAAAGTGACAAAGGTAATACTTTTTATCACCATTATCAAAATGAAAAGGAACAAGTCCCAAAACCCCTCACCCCAAGATAAAGTATTTCGTACCACAAACAATGTATTTGATGCAAAATACATTTTCTGGCAGAAATTACATTTTGGGGGCAAAAGCCCACTTTTTCATTTAAAAGCGCCCCCCCCATAACACAAAGAAAATGCACAAACTTTTTTCATATACTTCCGGGGGGGGGGACTTTTGGCATTTTTTCCGTTCTCACCTCCAGAACAAGATGAAGCAAAGGTTTGCATCCGCAGTCTGGAATAGCTTTCGCGGTTTAGGCCAACAAGCGTACAGATGACCCACCTGTTCAAAGTGTTTTCATAGATAATCTTAGAACTGCAGAGCTGAGCAGATGATCAAGGAGGCCCAGGGCGGGAATCGAACTCCCAGCCTCCTGCTCCACAGCCTGATGCTTAAACCACTGAGCTATCTTTGCCAGACATTTGTCTGCGGGCCATTACTGCTGTTATGACCAGGACCCATCTCAAACCACACCACCTATTGACGGATAACAGCAGAGTAGAGATCCCAAGACCATTTTTGCAACTCCTTAAAGGTTCCCGCGTATTTCCCTTCAAAAGAAAAGAAAAGAAAGAAAGGAAAAGATTCAAAACACACCACCTATTGATGGATAACAGCCGAGTAGAGATCCCAAGACTATTTTTGCAACTCCTTAAAGGTTCCCGCATTTCCCTTCAAAAAAAAAAGAAAAGAAAAAAAGAAAGAAAGGAAAAGAAATGCACCTCCATGTGGTTCTGAATCTCCTCTGAAACAAAGTGTGATCGTCCTGTTTTGTTACGCGCTGTCAAGTCAGAACTGATTCAGAGCAACCCTAATATTGCCGGTTTGTTGTTCTTTGTAACTGATGGTCTTATTTCTGAAATCTGCGACTGCTTATAATAATTTGCAATTTCTTGATACTGTTCCGAAGACCACGGTGACGACGGGGATCCCTTACATGTGTTTCATCCACAAATTATTATTATTAAATTCTAAAACTCTCACAACACTGTAAAAAAATAGTGACTAGCTGTTACTACTCTTTAGTACAGCTAATAATCCTGGTGACCTGGCTTTATGCTCCCTCCAAGTTTGTATCTGACCCCCCCACAGCCAAATTAGCACAGGATATGTCTGTCTCTTAGTATACGGCAGCTTTTCAAGCTTTGTTTGTTCACTACCTGAGGAAGAAACATTTGGATCCCCCTACGATTCAGCTCGCTTCTGGCTAGCTATCCTTGTTAGGGAGCCAGAACCTCCCTAGGGAGAGGCAGTCTATCTCAAAATAGCAAGAAAGCAAAAGGGAAGGGCCCCAACGCCTAAGGACAGTGCTTTCAGGCTCTGCTTGAGGCGCTTCTTGGGGGGAGGCACCCGTGGTGGAGAAAACAGGCCCCAGATGAGGAAAAGCTATTTTCTTCCATTCTTTGGGAAAAGGTTTAAGAGACAAAAAAAAGAACACAAAACACCGCCATCAATGCCGGCCCAACCTTTCCCTACTAGAGTAGACCTAAATAAATCTACAGTCCCCCTCCCAGGTTGATACCTCATGGCACTTTTATGTCTAACCGGGCACCAGTTTTTACACTCACAGCTCCTACTCCTCCCCCCCCAAAAAAAACTTTAAAGATGCCACAAGACTCTTGGCTGTTCCTGGTGCAGCGGAACTGGGGTCCTGCCGATGGACCAAAACTCGAGAGACCCGGGTTCGAATCCACTCCTCGGCCATCAAACCCCCCTCCCCCCTGGGTTGGGGCGAAGGTGGGGAAGCAGGTTCCTTAAACCTCCCAGTCTCCTAGGAGGGTCGCTATTAAGCCGGCCCATAAAAATAACTGGGGCTTCCCAGGGGCCCCCCCTTCCTTAGACAGGCATCCAGGTCTCCCCTGCCTAGAGAGAACAGAGCTGCCACCCACCACCATATGGGGCCTTCCCTCCCCCCCCCCATTATCGCCACTCCCTACTGTATCCCAACGACTTTTTCCCCAGGGGAAACTGGGGAATTTGGGGCGGGGGGGAAGGGGGGGGGAGGGG